AGATAGATAGATAGATAGATAGATAGATAGATAGATATTTTTGTTTGTTTTGCTTGATGACAAGTTTTAGTTTGCACACATTTCCAGCATGTTTGAATAAAAAAAATCAAAATCTCTTAAAACCCCCATCCAGGTTCCATTTATATCACCTGACACCAAAAATAAAAGAGTGATAATGCATTTGTCCATGTGGATGGATTTACTCACTTAATGAACGTCTACAACCGTTTACCTTTGCACATTTTTGTTGAGGTGCAGTACAACATACACACTCTGTCCTCKGTCCTGCGTCCAGAAAAATTGCAGGGTCTACAAGAAACTGGAGCCTTTTTAAGGATTTAAATCAAATCCAATCTGTTGAGTTCCAGGTGACTTTCCCCCTGGAGGGCACAAACGACAGCCCACAGACTGCTGTCTGTGCAGCTCTGAAACTGAATTAACGTGCCTGCTGACAGTACAGTAACCCTGTCTCCTGATATCGTCTATTGTTTCCCTCGGACAGGGACGCAGTAAGTCACCAGCTCGGAGAATMAAACGAACACTGGAGCTACGTGGCTAATTATAGTTCCAGTTAACGCTGCAAAACCTTTCGCTGTGTTGCAGCGACGGTGCCATGTGGCAGGATTTGAAAGGGTTTCTTGAGGTGAATTTTTATCAAAGGCAGGGCTGGATTTGATCTCTCTTCACAGAACAACCCCATGAATTATAAATGACGGCCTCACTTTAGCTTTGACCTTGCCTGAGCGATCTGTCTTTTTTTTAAATGCTAAAATGCTAACAAAGCTCATCCTTTGGGATATCACCTGTACAATCAGTGATCAGAAGGATGGGAGACCAGATCACCTGAGCTTTAACTAGCATGAACAGAACACAAAATGTTCTGCAATAGTTTTATCTGTCTGACATAAAAAAAAAATAAAATAAAACTAATAAAAACAACATAAACAAAAACTACTATGATCTAGATTCAGAATGTGTTTTTATGGAAACGTATGAGACTCAGCATAAAGAAATATAACTTTGGAGACTAAGGTAAATCATCTTATGAATGATTAAATCTGCCTGCATATGTAAGTAGGTGATTTTGCTTCTGAAGGGATCCCAAAGGCATTGTCAAAGCCACAGCATTATAGAAACTCCCCATCTAGAGAACTGGTTTGCCAGTAGAACAAAACATTTATATTATCTCCTTTTTAAATTATTATCACAAACAGCAACAATAAACAAACTATTTTCCATCTTGTCTTTTCTCCTTAACAGGTTGTAGCTCACCTGGAGAAGCATCTGCTCCTTCACTCTGCAATTCACACAACCACACCAGAAATAGGCATATTTTTATCAATACTGAAAAAAAAAATCATCACCAGTCTGATTTTTTTCCACCCTTTCTTGCGCTGTGACAGGCGTCAACTGAGTGAATTTTATCATTGTGATCTCAGCAATGAGAACCAGCAGCAGGGAGGTGTTAATAACAGCCAACGTGAGGTGTTAATGAGTGTTCAGCCCCCAAGTCTCACACTGGCACTCATCACGTTTATAATTAAACATAACAAGAAGAAGGAAAAAAAAGATGTTGAAATCTTTACATCTGCTTGATCGTGGATACATTTCATCCCAGATATGAAATCAAGCGAAGTAAACTTCATGCAGTTTGCATACATGTTTAATGAAAGGCACTCTTTGCAGAATAAATAAAACATTGCAAATTATGACACTGTGTACTGTACAAAGTTGACACATACAGTAACAGTCCTCACATGTTCAGTGCTTCATAACATATTAAAGTGCTGATTATTGAAATGACCAACTTCCGTCACCTCATAGCTTTTCTCATTGTATTTATTGCTTTTTCATTGAGTGAAAAATACATTCTTGTTTTCACATCATCATATTATAGGGATATTTAAAAGGCAATGACTGAGTTGCAACTACTTTCACTGACATTTCAATACAAGCCTGATTTATACATACACAGTAGTTTAACATTTCATAGATTTTCAATGACTGGAATGTGGCATGCATAAATAGTGTGAATTTATATTTTCCCTTCTGTGCACGTTTGTCTTTGTTTCACAAACTTATTGAACTTATGTCCTCTGCTTATTATGTGGACTACAATAATCAGGTTTGAATACTTTTACATTCAGTCCCAATACATATTAAATCTTTAGTTAATAGGAGGTAAACTGTATTTCGGCCTTCATGCCATGAAGTAAAAATGATAAAACAACAGCAAATGGAAAAACGTTTAAATTAAAAAAAACTTTTTTTGTCCTTATCTTTTTTATCTGATCACAAATATATATATATATATATATATATATAATATATTTTCTCACATTTACCCAAATACACATTTTCCCTGCCATCTATGAATGGTATAAAGCTTCAAAAGTGCTTGAGAAATATGTGGAAAAAAAGCTTTCAGTGCAATAAATTGATATGATTTTACAGAGTGAAATTCACATTAGAATTTTGTGCTGGGATTATCCATTTACAGCCCCAACCCTGTTTGTTGGATCTCACTGTGAAATAACAAAAACCAACAAAAACCCACAGATGAAAAGCAAGTGATTTTAATCACTACAATTGCTGCATGCAACTATTGCATGTAGAATATCATCAACATGAAGCAGGTTTGGTTTATACTTTACATCCTATCTAAGAATAATAGCAGACAAGCTACAGTGCCAGCTATTTATTACAGATATTGTAACACTGAAGGTGCTGCTGGCTGAGCACTCACAGTTATAGATTTGCTGAGAAGACAGTGTGTWCTCTGATGTTCTCCTTTGCACCACACTTGTTTGCCCTTGAACACCACACCGAGGCCCATCTTGATTCTGCTGAATACGATGAAGTGGAGACTAACATGAACCTCTGATGTAATACAAGCTCAGTTAAAAAGCTTTGATCACCGAAATCTTTGTCTATTTTCTCCAGTAGGATTGACTAGCTCAACTAATTCAGACCAGATGAATATTTTACAACTTGCAAAGCCTTTTCTCTCTCTGCAGTACTCACTTTTTTGTATTTCAACATTCAAGGTGAAATGTTTGTCTACAGCACAAGTCATGCGTTTCAAATTGGACTTAATTTTTTTCATCACAGCTGACAGAAAAAGTGGTTGCTGAGTTATAATTGCACTTCACTTTGACACATCTACATAAAGACAGACAACTTGTGTAAAAACCCCACCACAGAGTGCCTTGTAATACTGTAATTATGTGTGTTTGGAATACAAAACGATGAGGAAGATAAACTAACAGATATGTTTGATTTTGTTCATTTGTGCCCTTCCGTATGATAAACTCTCTATTAGTGCATGCTGTTTTTCTCATTCTGCCAAGCGCCGTTACTTTTGTTCAACGAGAGGCTGCTTCCACTCTTGTTAGCAGCTGACATTTTTTGAGCAGCTTCCGCTGCTGCCTCCATCACCTGTTTCTCCTCTTGCTCAGTCTCACGGTGGTAAAAATAGTTAAAGTTGGAGACGATGACAGGCACAGGCAAGGCAATGGTCAGGACACCAGCAATGGCACAGAGAGTGCCGACCATTTTGCCTCCCATGGTGATGGGGCACATGTCTCCGTAACCCACGGTGGTCATCGTCACCACGGCCCACCAGAATCCATCGGGAATGCTAACAAACTGTGTCTGGGGCTCATCCACTTCTGCAAAGTAGATGGCACTTGAGAAAAGGATGACTCCTATGAAAAGGAAGAAGATTAGCAGCCCCAGTTCCCTCATGCTGGCTTTTAAGGTCTGACCCAAAATCTGGAGACCCTTCGAGTGTCGGGAGAGCTTAAAAATTCTGAAAACTCTCACCAGTCGGATGATTCTGAGTATCGCTAAGGACATGTTCTGGCCCGAGTTCACATCRTCATCTGGTGTTGTGGCCAGCTCAGTTCCCAGGGTTACAAAGTAGGGAATGATGGACACGATGTCGATGATGTTCATGATGTTGTTGAAGAAATCACTTTTGCTGGGGCACACCACAAAACGAACACCAGCCTCGAAGCAGAACCAAACGATGCAAACAGTCTCCACGATAAAAAACGGGTCTGTGAGGTACGTCATGATGTTTTTAGCAGCAGGACGAGGGACAGAACTGTCTTGGGTGCCRTTGATCACTTGGGTGAAACCTGGAGGAAAATCGGTGTCGTCCCTGAACTCTGGGAGAGTTTCCAGGCAAAAGATGAAGATGGAAATGACGATAACAAACACAGAGACCAGAGCTACAGATTTGGCTGCGCTGGAGCTCTCTGGGTATTCAAACAGAAGCCAGAACTGTCGCTGGAGTTCRTTGGTGGGCAAAAGGACCTCAGGTTCTTTGATAAACCCTTCGTCCTCACGGAACTGCTCCATCGCCTCGTGRCCCAACTCATAGAAAACAATTTCATTAGCAAAAACATCTAAGGGAACATTGGCTGGTCTGCGGAGTCTCCCTCCTGACTGGTAGTAGTACAGAATCCCATCAAAAGATGGTCGATTTCTATCAAAGAAGTACTCATTTCTCATCGGGTCAAAGTAATTTATCCTCTTCATAGGGTCACCCAGCAGTGTCTCTGGAAACTTACTCAAGGTGCTGAGTTGGGTTTCAAACATCAGTCCTGAAATATTGATGACAACTTTCTCATCTTTGCCCTCCACACAGTGCTTTTCAAACAGATCTTCATTTTCATAATAATCCTTCTGTATCTTACTGAAGACACTGTCGGTTGGAGACTCGCTGTTGATCAGGAGCTTCAGATTTGAGATCAGGCTGGCACTGCTGGAGTTCGCCTTAGAGGTCAGAGTTGGAGGTGTGGACGGTGACAACCCATCCTGACCAGACTGACGCCGGCGACGTCCCCTGCGTGGCGACTGGTGAGGAGAAGCTAGCCGGTGGGTTAACAGGTTCTGGTCAGGTGCTTCTGAAGTTGGAGAGGTGGGGTACCCGGAGTCGCTCGGGTCGCCCAGGTTGATGCCAACGTCATCCATGTTTTCGAAGTTGACAAGTGGCACCTCCATTGCCTGCTTTGTCGTTAGCTGAAGCTTGGACTCTCAGTCTGGTTCGGGAGGCAGAAGGGACACCTCAACCGGTGCCACGCTGAGGATCCTGATGGGGCTTCCCTCCTCCTGGTTACCATTCAGGCTGCCAGTCACTAGTTTCAGACACAGGCTTCTGGTTAATCTGCAAAACAGGGTTGTGGAAAATAAATACACTTCACTTTCTTGAGCGGTGCAGTCTACAGTAGTTTTGTTGATTAAGAGATTTTCTGTCAGCTCTTGTTTGCATCAGCAGATAACCTGCCATCCAATACCCTGCATATACAGTTATTTTTTTTCCTCCTCAATTTCTCTCCAATGACCCAAACAAGAACATAAACTCTGCAAGACTGGACGTAAAAAGTGCTGACGGGGCAGTATGGACAGCTTTAGTGCTGATCATGTGCTACAAAACTGTTTCTTCTGACATAACACTTGATCCTTCACTAATGACGGCAGGTGYAAGCTCATTAAACTGGCTAACGTGTAACTTTCTCACTTTCTTATTCCACGACTTGGTTATTCTGTTTTATTTCAGGACAGCTCCACATTTGCTTCATCTTTTATTGGCTGCTTATCATTCCTTTTGACTTGTTTGAACAGGTAACCAAATCCTGAGCASATGCCAGCAGGCTGTGATGCACATGACACTAAGGGCCCTGCAAGATTCGACCAGATCTATGTGCCTTTGTTTCCATTCACAGTGCAGCAAATAAACGTAACGGCTGAAGTAAAGAATTTAATCTTCTTTAATTTGTGGAGACTTTATGGAAGATGTGCATAATGAAACAAGCAGAATGCATATTTAGCTTCTCCTTGCGTAAACAATGAGGGGTTACTGGGTGCAAAATAGAGGACGAACACAAACACAAGAACTGAAAAGTAACATTTGATATCCTCAGATCTCAGAAACTTTTCCAAAAGCTTTTTTTCTGTTACTACACTCCAAAAAAATGAACTAACATTACTATTTGACATTCACTTGACAACCAAAAATGAGTTTACCTCTTTATAAACATCAGCGTCCTTATCCATAAGTGTCAAGGTGCCACCTAATTCATGCAGGACTCACCCATGTTCCCGGCTCTGCAGAAGTTTTAAAGTCCTCTCTGTTCTGCCAGGCAGCTTCGCTCCGTGCCTCTTTACTCCCCTCACTCTCCCCCATCAAAACTCCCAATCAAGAGTGTCTCTAGCAGTATTAAAGCTCCCACTAAGTAATTTAACACCGTGGGCGAAATCTGAGATGCTGAAAGCACCCTCAGAAACTACACACGTTCTCCTTCACACATACACACACAAACACAAGCACAAGACAAACAATAAAAAGGCAACTGACTTTATTTTGAGTGTGTGTGTGTGTGGGTGGGGG